AAGGCCAAGGTACGGATAAATCGATCCTGGGCTTGAGTTGTCGCCCTTGGTCGACCTGAGCGTGGTCTGTCCTGTACAGATTGTGTATCACGGTATCTGGACCATAGCCTGCTTATGACAGACTGAGAAACATTCATCGTCCGCGCCACAACCGCCTGTGTTGTGCCGATCTGTAGCATGCCAAGGGCACGTAACCTTTCATTTTGGGTAAGCCGACGCATATCAAAATTTGTTTTCTGGTCACTAAAACAATTAAACTGATGTTTCCACCCTGGAATTCAATGCCACAATGACTGTAACATTCAAAGTCAGAGTTGTGCAAATCTTGGGTTGGACCCCCATGATGATCCCAAGCATCACCTGCATTCCATGCGGTAGCTATTGGTGCGTTTGGGCGTCACATGTAACTGGAAATGTTTCTTCTGTTAGGTTCTATAGTGACTTTTTTCGTAGTCATTTGCATATTTTAGTATTATGCCCCCAAAATCAAATATCCCCTACTTTTTTTGAATAGTATATGTTATCGCTCGTTACTACAGTCAGACATATATTATGATATATCGTGTTTTCCATTTTTGCGTCATCTGTTTATTCAAATCTTCGTTACGCATCTACAGAAGCAATAATGATCTCTGTGTTAAAATTATACTTAGAATGTGTTTAACTAGTTCTATCACATAATAAAGGTTGACACCAACACTGTCATATACGGAATGCAAGACAGACTACATGTTACCCATATCAAGTGGAGCTCGCCATTGCATCCATTGATAGTAACGGAAAGCAAATTGGACACCGGTTTGACGTATTAGGAAACAACGTTATTAAAACCAAGATGTAGTTAGATCGTTACTATTGATTTTATAACGGCATGAAGTGACAAATGTGCGTACAAATAACCCGCGGACAGGAATTGGGCGAGCAGGGGGTTTGGAGTGGGGGGGGGGGGCGTGGAAATCAGACTTGCACAACTTTACAGTTCACATCTCCCTAAATGAGTTTGTATCACACACTGTCTCAACCCACCCGTTGTCGGACTACTAATAAAACTATTCGGGAAGAATTTTTTTTTAAAAATATTTCCTGATAATTTTTGTATTGGTCCTTCTGATGGTAAGAAAACTCGAAGTCTCGTGTACATATTGGTGTGCACGTAAAAGAACCATTAACAGTTGTAATTTTAAATAAGAGTAGGTCAAAGCGTGGCTGTTCGGGCAAATTGTTCCCCATAGCACACTGCATGTCATGTGTCTGTCTTTAGTATATAGAAAGTATGCTTGTTATTTAGATACGTTAACGCAGCTATAGTTTAGTAAGCATGTTCGTCATTTGCATTTTTCAAGGATAAGTTGTTATTGTTTGGAATACACTTTAGTAGAAAATTACGAATTAGCCTACGCCATTCGGCACCTATAAGATAGACCGGGGTTAGAATATTTTTTTTAGCGGGGTTGAAAGAAGGAGATGTTAATTTTAAATATTGTAATGTAAACTACTGTGTAACTGTTGTGATATAAAAACGTATAGAAACAAAAACTATCATTGTTCCTGTTACTTAGTTGAGTCGGTATCGTGAGAAAACACAATGGTGAAGTCCTTAAGAAAAGAGATAAAACAGTAGCAGCCCAGAGCCAACCAACACCTAGACGACCAAGGGCTGTGCCTGAATATGTAGTAAGAAACGATGCATGGGTTATATGTCGGATGTGGCGACCGGGTTTAGCGTCGACCGCTCTCCACGTCTAACAATGTACGTGCTGGGTAGTGTCTGTATTTTAAGTTGTTTAATGTTCTCGTGCAAGACAGCGTCATATATATATATAAATATATATATATATATATTCGAAATAAAGATGTTTTAGGGAAAAAAACTAGGTTTTTGCGAGTACTTTCCGCTTTATTAAGCTTCTTGACTTCTTCAGGCAAATTTTACCAATTCCAATATATATAATACATTGCGTCATATATATCAATGTATATCGAAATGAAATGGGGTTTAACGTCCTACTTTTCTGCTCCTATACTGGACTAATGAAGACGGGCATACGCCATACAGTGTGCTATGAGGGAAATTTTGCTTTATTAAGCTTCTTGACTTCTTCAGGCAAATTTTACCAATTCCAATATATATAATACATTGCGTCATATATATCAATGTATATCGAAATGAAATGAAATGGGGTTTAACGTCCTACTTTTCTGCTCCTATACTGGACTAATGAAGACGGGCATACCCCATACAGTGTGCTATGAGGGAAATTTTGCCCGGGCAGCGGAACTATCGCCTGCTCTTATATCGAATTCCAACTGCCAAGGGATCTTTTACGTGCATTCCAATGTATACACGGGATCTCGGTTTTTCGTCTCATCCGAAGGACTAGACAGATGTCCTAGTCAGTACCCCCGTCCTGCATCACTCACAAGGGGGAACCACGTATTTTTAAATTAATCTGTGCAGAAAAATTACAGTCCCACGGCCATTCCACGAGAGTAAACAATAACTCACTCCAGTCCACGGCTTACAAGGTTGAAGGCAAAATAACATTATTCTACACAAATGAATATGTAAAAACACCTATAAATATATATAACTAGTTCACGAATATCATATCGACATTTAATGTACATAAACAGGGTATTGTCGATTTCACGAGGCAAACATTACGAAATGTATTTAATTTGAACAATGGAATGATTTAATCCAACGAGGTTAATAAATGAAGAGGGACATCTCGGAATAGAATATCCAAAATGACTTTTGACTTAAATGTACCTGGTAAGAGTTATTTATCCTGCATGGGGTTTGTTAGCCTCATTCACGCGGGCTTGGATGGCCGAATGGTTAGCAGTTGCGCGCGGTATCGTAAGGTCTATGATTGAGTCGACTGGTGGGGTTTCGATTCCCCGGTTGTAAGTGACAAGGAGTAGGGTCGCCTGTCCAACCTTGTGGGTTTTCTCCGGGTTCTCACTCTCCCCTCCCTGTTAAAGACACCTGCGCGAAAGCGAATTATTGTAATAAAGTTTAACCATGTGTTAGTCTCGAAATGACCTAGTTTGTGTCGAGTGGACGTTAAAGCCCATTTTTATCTCTCAGCCTCGGCCCCATTCAGCGCCTCTTACCCTTGGCGGACCCGAGGGTTGGCGCAACTTCTGGATATATTGGTAATAGGTAGTCTTTTTATTTGGGTTCCGGAAACTGTTAAGTTAGGAACGGATCCCACGGCAGAGAAGATCGTGACATTCGTAGATTTGGGATAGTTTTATGGTGATTCGGCCAATAGTAGCCGATCCGTTGTTGAATCGCGGTTCCGCATCGATTGGTCACAAATTCTTCCGAATTTCCATGATTGGTTCGGTCCCAATTCGTGGGGTTATTCAGTAATTCTAGGGAGTAATGATCCGAATAGGAAGCTGACCTGCTGCTACGAACAATGTTGAAGAACCAAATAAGGGTAATTACGTCGTGACTATCTTCTTCGTCATTGCACCAAAAAACATAAATGTGACTCTACGTATTCTTTATATATATATAGATGAATTAACTCTAACTTCCACGTTGTGTATATGATCAAGTAACTCTGGAATTCTGTATTTTTATAATAATGTTAATATATCAAATTCAGGAATCTACAACATCTATGATAGAATATTCGGATTTATTATATCTGCAGCCTGAGTTTAACAAGCCTAGAACTCAGGCTGAAATACTATATTGTCTCTATTCCAGCCTCGAACCAAGGGCTGAGAGTGCGTTCCAAGAACCCTGCATGATGCCGATGAGACCAGGAACACTGCATGTCTCCACCCTAGCCTATCAGCCGAGGAGGCTATGGGTATGATGCTCCCCTAGGAACTATTAATGATTCTGAAAATACCTAAGAGTCAAAAGGATGGCAAGAGTCACACACTTCTTGGTAGTTGTACATGATGCTCTCACCCGGTCTGTATGTATCTCTAGGAAAGCCCACATGATGTCTCTTTTAGGATCTCTAAATAATGTCAGAAGGGAAATTTAACCCCGCCCGTTCTTATTTACAAAATTTACATGTCGGCTATCTTACGCTATTTTGGAATATGTTTGTCACCGTTATGCTTATTTGTGCGCCAAAAGGAATCATTTCTCGACATATCTGACACACTTTAAAATAATTCAACACGATTTTCCAGTACAACTTATCGATCAGGAAACCCGCACTTGCGACGACCTAAAGTTACGGGTCCGCTGGTTTGCTCAGTCGATATTCAAAATTTAGGAATGGAATTCTTGTTGTACTTCAGTTAACGGACTAAACTGTCAATGTTGATACCAGTAAAGTGTTTTCATATAGAGACAGGCAGTGTCGGTGAGAGGCTAGTCCGACCAAACACCGTTACTAACGTAAATACGGCATTAGATTAGAACATTCTGCACAATTCCACACGAGTATACTTTAATTTCGAAACTGAAAATTCACGATTGGCCATAATTGGACGTAGAGAATACATTTGTCTAAATTACATGTTTATGTTTCAAACTTATATCCAGCTCATGGACTATAGGAGCAAACTTCGTTATTTTTCGCTTTCTCTTATCGAGGTTCAATTTGGTGTGTTTCAAATGGTTTATAAGTTAGATAAAGCACTCGTCTCCGTTTATGCTGGTTTAGAAAGGCCTCAGACAGAAATCCCAATCGGCCTTGGTTTTTCTATCATCTCGAGTTCTTTCTTCGAGTCTTTTCCCCCGCATAACCGAAGGCTCGTGCTTTATCCATTAGTGAATACATAGATAATGCATTGTCAAAAATAATATAGAGCTGTTTTCCTTTTATTGATTGTGTAACATTGAATCAATGCGCATGTTCTAGAAACATTATACATAGCTGTCAGAAAATCTCCCATTGTGTTACTATAGCTAGACAATAAGTGCGTGCTGGCGTAAATGGTATAAACTTGGCACCCTCTAAGACAGTTACACCAAGAGGACAGAGCATTCTGAATTATTTTCCCATGGTGTACTTTCTCGTAGCGTGTTCCACACGAACATCTCAAATTTAATTACAAAAGGAAAACAGATTTTTAGTTTTAATTCGCAAAGATGACACCGTTGTTAAATTTAATAATTCTTTCGATATTGTGCCATGTGGTTCACACGCATCCATTTTCTGAATTTTCAGAAACCAACATCATTACTGATACGTGCGCGAAAAATGGATTGTTATTAACCACTGCTCGTTCTAGAATAGATTGTGGTACCTCTTGTAGTGCGAATCCTGAATGTCGACGATACGTATTTTGTTTTTCTGATTCAACATGTACATTATATCAGGACGGCACTGATTGTGTTCTTGCTGGAGATTCGTCTAGCTGTACTTGTTATAGGAAGGTTAGTCTTTTTACTATTAACTTTCAAAGTGGAATCTGTATTTATATGTTTAGTTTTTTTACTGTCATTATTGTACGTGAAAGGTATTTTTTATATGTATTTCCTAGTTTTAACCAATTCTTCGAAACGTCTCGGGGACACGCTACAACAAAGTAATGTTGTTGTTTGTTTTTCTTTAGATAGAAAACTGTGTTTTATTTATGTGTAACGACCACATCTAGGTTATTGTGAGGCTAACACATGAATTGGAACACGCCATGACCTAATGCATTTTGAAATATTGAACCCATACCTAAACAGATCAGATGCACATGTCTTTTAAACTCACACCAATGTTTGCCGATAAATTGTATTTGTAGAATATTGGACGGAATTTAGATGCTACTACCACATGTCCCATGGGATACTACGATAACTGCCAGAGTGTTGTCAAAGGTAAGCGCTTAATGGTTAATATCGGTATTTTACTCAGTTGTTGCAGGTGAATTAACATGTCTCGGTGTGCCGGAATGTTGGAGCTACGGCTTCCCTAGTCCAGCTCTGAACGTAGGTCTCTTTACAGTCGACACTACGTCCAGGGAAGCTAGCATTGAGTCCAAATAATCGACCGCCCCAGTCAATTTTACTGGGCAACTTTTTACCGCTCGACTGTAAAGAGACCTACGTTCAGAGCTGGACTACGGCTCCCCCAACCCACCACAAAAAAGCATCTGTAGCACGGGGCAATTGCCAACAGCCCTGACATTTTTGCCGACTGTGCACTAAAATATCGATTCTTTATAGTTGTCCAAGTTGCACTCTGGTCTGATGGGCTTTTAAATGGTATCTGATTTCATCGTTTGTCCACCACAATTGCAACTCTTGGGGGCCAACACCACACCCTGTCCCACTGCTCCCTGATGTGCCGGTGCCCCGGCCATGCTAGTACCATTTATCGCTCTTTGTCAGCATTTCGTCCATTGTCTTGGCACCATTGAGGCTCCCGTTCTTTCTTAATATAGTGGCAATAGTTCCGCATCGGGTCTCCAAACCTGGAATTGTAGCCCACCTAATGTTTTTGATGGATTATATATTTTTAGGTTTAGTTGTATAGATTCACAATCCGGATGATGGCACCCTTGGGGAAATTTAGATATTCACGATGGCCGCCCTTAGGCATTTTCCGGTTATTTAGAGGGGTAAAAGTATGACAGAATCTCCCGGACCTCGGTGTGAAGTTGGTTTCTTTAAGAATTGAACCCGCTGAATCAACAGAGTTTTCGTATTCCTCTTAAAAGTGACCACTAATTCCACTAGGGGGCGAAATTCATAATGGGGGCTACTTTTTTTAGGGAAACCAATAATGTTTCCTAAAACGGTCTGTAATAATAATATTGAAATATGGGTTTTCGTTGTCAATTACTTCTTATTTAAACATAAAAAACATGTTCCCACCAAAATATATTCAAACCCGATCATGATTCCCTTCGTATTGTTATAAGGGTAGAAATTATTACAGTATAACAAAATCAGCTAGCAGATCATCGTGAGTTGAACGCAAATGTTTCTAAAAGCTAACTGCGGCTCACATAATTATTTGTCTCGTTTAACCTCGCGTATTTGTCTAACTCACCCTCTATTGAATCACTGGAATACTCGCAATTGGTAGAACAGTCTGAATCTTCCCATTTCATTATGCAACGGGGGTGAACTTTGTCTTGTCAGTTATTAGGTCACTCATACTCGCTGGGATTTTGTATCAGGCTGGGAAATATTTCCCATCCTTTATTCCCCTCTACTTTCTAGTTGACAAGGACGGGTTTCGTAGTGGATCTTAAAATACAGATGTGACGTCATCCTTTGATGTTGGAGTACCATTATTTCAAATAATCGTACGGGCAATGTGGCAAGCGTAACTTGGTAAAATATTGAACTCGAGTGACGTATTTCATTGCAAAGCACGTGCACGTGTCTGTATTTTAAGTTGTTTAATGGTCTCGAGCTTAAGACATTGCGTAATATATTGTAAAAACAATCGGGCCTCACGGCCCTCATGTTGTTACAATATATGACTTAATGTCTCGCTCTCGACCATTAAACAATACATAATGTATGCTTGGAAATTTGCCCTCCGTAGCTTCTGTTCGTTATGACCATGTAATTTGTGCTCTTAGTCCTGTGATACAGAAGTTTTTTTACATTACCGGTTCTATTTTCTTTCATGTTTTACTAAACTTAGTTTGTTTTTGTTGTTGTTGAATTTGGGAACCATATTGACACATTTCACCATTTAGATAATTCCAGAATCCAAAAATCTATAGTAAAATACATTACTTACACCGTTATGGCCACCATTTTGAATACGAGCTTAACCTGGAATACCCTTTGGTCGGAACATGTTTTTATGCTTATATCTGAAGTAACTGACACATAAAACCTTGCACAAAATATTACACACCTTTTTGGAGGACTTTATGAGTTTTCCTCCAAAATGAGCATCCATTCTGAATTTGAACCCCCTAGCGGAATGCGACATGAATTTCAGGAGGAATACCCAAGTTCATTGGATTCCGCGGGTCAAATTCTGATAGAAACCATGTACATACCAAGGTCCGAAAGAATCGGTCCTGAATTTTACCCCACTATATTAAAATAAATAATAATAATGTCGGCCATCTTGAATATAAAATGTCCCCAGTGGTGCTAGGGTCGGATTGTGAATCTACTATATTTCCACGCCAAGGCTTAAAATTGGGTTTCGAAACAGGGATAAAAATGGATTGTTCCAGGTTCCAGACGAATCACTTCGATCTGTCTAGTTACCTCATACCAGCAGAAGTGCTATAAAAGTTGGCGAATAGTTAAATATTTATTCCATCGCCTGCTAGCCCAATATAATATTGTTGATAAATATCATTTTATATTCGTATACTTATTTATAGACTGTGGTGAAGCGTTTGATAAAGATATGCAGTTGAATTTTGTGAACAAATACATACTGACATACATAAAACCAGTGATGTCACCAGCACCATTTGAGGTTAAATGTGTATTAAATTCTGGTGGACAGACGGAATTATTACAGAGATCAAGTGTCTGTAGCAGTGTAAACTTCAATCGCTCCATGGTGGAATATGAACAAGGGTTTGGAAATATCATCAAGAATTATTGGATTGGATTCAACAAGTTGGTTGATATTATGCATAGCTCATCCTTGACATTCCAATTACATGTCACCTTGTTTAGGCCTGATAGGTGTTACACTTACTATAATGGATTCCAGATCGGTGACAAAACATCGGGATACAACATTAGTTTCAGCTCCATCAATCATAATGGATGTGGTGATTCAATGACGGGAAGTGTGAACTTAGATGGAAACCGCTTCTCTACTTATGATGTTGATTACACTGGAGTCAATCAGTGTGCCAGTAGGCTTGGAGGTGGCTGGTGGTTCGAAGATAGTCCTGATTGTACCCGGAGCTTTTTAACTGGCTTTCTAAATGGTTCAGTGTCAGACATGTTTTGGATGGACAACTTGGGTGGAGAATTCTTAAACGAGGCGATTTTGACTTTATTAAAAAAGTAACCACACCATTTCATTCAGCGCCCGGTTTGTTTCTATCTAATATTTGATAGTAGGCCCTATTTGGTTATGGTTGCTACATGTGATAGTACAGCCTATTGAATATCTGGTTATTGTTCTTACAAACTCGTTTAAAAAATATTATGTTAGTGTATATGACCTCAAATGTCTGGAATCCTGCATCTTCAAATCAATATGATTTTTTTTATTGAAGAAATACGTCTCACAATTGTCTATTTAGATCCGAATACCGGGGATTTTAATTACCATCTGCAACTAATAACCATTGTGTTTGTACAGCATTGCAAATCAATTTGAACGAATTTAATGACTTTAGTGGCATCTCGATAATTTCGCTGTAGATTATTAAATATTAAAAAATGGATAAAAGCGTGTGGTTTTAGAATTTTGTTTATTTTATTTACACAAGTATTGTTGATAATCACAGTTTCCCATGTTTTCGAACTTGTTTTCCTTTTCTATAAGTTCACATGTCAGTAATGTGGGGTTTTTATATCACAGAATTTGTCTTTGTCCAAAATTAGATTGCTAACAATGTAGCGGTCGCTTTTTACTGGATTCTGGGAGACCATTTCTCCCTCCGTGTGGACAGGACAGAGGCTGGAGCTATATTGTTGTCGCGCTGTCCGTCCGGACGTCCACACTTTGTTTATGGACACTCCGGTGAACAATTTTTATCCGATTTTGTCGAAACTTGGCGTATAGGTTTATATCCTAAAGATCAGGCATGTATCGTACCGTAACTTCATGGGTTATGGCCCCTGAGTGTAGCTTGTGGAATTAATAGAGGCCACATTTTGTATCCGATTTTGATGAAACTTGAAACGAATGTTCAAAACCTAAAGATCTCGGGTTTCGTTCGCTATTCGCGCATAGCCGACCGGACTGAATTATGGCCCCTGATTGTACGATACAAACTCTTGCAAAGTGTGGGCGTATCTTGCAATGCAACTGCTGGCTAACAAATACTTTAAGATTTGCTTTGAAGCATTCGGTCATGAGAGGAACGAACCCCATCGCTTTCTGTGACACTGTCCCAACCCTTTCAACGTGGTTAGATCGCGTTGGACGCCACAGTTTTAAGGGGTGTTTGATGAGATGAGGAACAGTATGCCATGATAATACATCTGACAAGATATTCTTTCTTTCGCCATCATCTTGTCAAAATCGAGCACACATCGCTTTTCACTTATATAAGTTTTTGATTTTACCGCGACCAAAGCGTTGTCAATAACTACAAGGCAATGTTTTGGGGGATGTAAAACGTAAATGTACTGGCAAGCAAAACCAGCCCTGATCATTCTACGCAGATGTGGTTATCAAAGGTCAGGATGTGGGTTCTGTTTTGGGTAATGTTACCATTACGTCTGATAGAAGGGTTACATTATCTATGCAGGCTACTGTAGGGATACGCGGCGTACATGCCGTACGAGGATAGCCAGAGCTATACCTAGACTAAAAGTAACAATTTAATAGTTCACTGTATCCAGTTCTCAGGAACCGCTGCTTTAACGTGCGCACCCGGACCACAACGGTAGAACTGAAAACAATACAATATAGATTTCTCAGAAAGGTGCGCCTACTAGTCAGCTAAACAAGGCCATGCAAGGCCGATTAATTAGAGTGGACCTCCCATCTAGGTGAATTGTAAGCCGAAGCAATGTGTTGAAGAAAATTGCCCACAAGCCCATACTCCACTCAATTACCACGATTTCACTCTCCGCCAAGTGCAAAGACGCCATATTATTATTTTACAGTGGACTCTGACGGGACCCGTCTTCATTAGCCCAGTAGGAGCAGAACAGGAGAGCGTTAAACCGCATTCCGACTAACATAGGATATATCAAGCGAATCAACCCAGCCAGCAGATCAAATAAGCAAATACGATGAATCAGATCGTATTATTTGTCCAGCAGATTCATTGTTTAATAAGAGAGTTTCATCGAGCGGAATATCGGCACTACCAACCAAAAGAGGCAAATCTATAAGAAAAATACCAATCAAGTAGCTTAAGATAACATCCATTAGACCATAAGTCAATTATCATCATAATTTCTATTCCTTTTACCTTTATGCTTATAGTTATACGAAATCGTTTCGTTTGGATGAAAAAAGCGCCAGTCCATTGTCGGCAACATCAATTCCTTTTATAATTGTCCTTTAGCTATCGGGTTGTACAACCACGACCCCTTTTATCGAAAACAATACCTGTTAACTTAATTTAACAAGCCAATGACAGACTACACCCCGCCCACCTCCTAATTAGTTTAAGTTTAAAGGTGCCCGGGAGACGCTCGGTCGCTAAACAGGTCTTGGGTTTACTCCACTGTTGGTAGATCATTTCTCCTTGGGTATTCCTGAAGCAATTGCCCGAGAAATCCCTCTCTGGCCATTGCTGGATTAGCTTCTGATACTTGCGCTTTTGAGGGAGCGTGTCTATTCTAATCTATCTCCAAGCACAGCAACATGACGGCCCTTCTTTTAATTAGGGGCCTTTCCTAAAACTTTGGACAGTGATTTAAGGTATTATAAACGGTGAAAGTGTTGTTCCGACTCAAAACAGTATTGTTTACAATATGTCCGTGCTGATAGCCTCGTTTGTCACACAATATTCTGCTATGCACTGGTTAATTGGGCAATTCTGCTATGCACTGGTTAATTGGGCATAATAAAATCGTAAGTCGTAACGTTATGTAAACATATTTGGTCCAATATGGAGCTCTGTTTAGTATTGTTACGCAGCTAGCTATTGGTTGTTAATCGGACCATTGAGCAGTCATAATTTAAAACAAGAATTTGCCTTCTTTACAGCAGTGAGTAGTGGGATTAGCTCTAATCAAACGAAACACTGCGAGGAGTATGTTCTCCTTGTTACTTGTGTAGAGTTTAACAAGGACACTATCTGGTCCGATGTACAATTTGCTTGCAAGTAAAAGAACCCTTTCGTCCATGAAAAAATATCTCATAGCACATTGTCTGTCATAATTACACGAGGCCAGTTGATGGACATTCTACTTTCTATTATTTGCATTCGATTACACTAAGTAGACTTGTTTAGTATACTTCCCTTTTAGACACGTTGTTGCAAGAAATGAACGGAGAACAAGTAGAAAATACTCCAGAATATTACGGTCCAACAAATTGTTTACTTTGCCATGTTTTTTTTGTTTATTTTAGCGTATGAAAGGTTAAAAAACACACTTTTTTATCGCTCCACTCGGCACGAATTTCGTATGCGCAACAAACACCACCATTAACATCAACTTACGACTGACATTTTGTTCCAAAGGCGGTTGCCTAACTCATAAAATAAGTTAAACAGATGTATAACTGACCAGTAATTCTATTAGTTGATTGGCTATTATAATAACTGACGTTCAGCTCATGAAGATAACTCTGGGCTTCATCTGGATACCAATAATAGGTAGAGTCTATTGTTGGCTGATATTTTCTTCTTTTTTTTTGGTGACTGGCACTGAACATAACCACGAATCTCGTCCTCTTCTGAATCCATTTTAATTTTTTTTTTCCACGAAGACGCCATGCTCCCTGTGTCGTGCAGGCTAAAGAAAATTAAGTGATGGCAGATCAAAAGGAGCCTGGCGTGTATTTTACTAGAGCACGTGCAACTGCAAATCAAAATTATCAGCAGGAGGGTTGTTATATTAAGAGAAAATATATGGTTAAAAGTGCAAAATTATAATATCAAAATAGTAAAAATGGCCATTGTAAATATCATATAGCACAAAATCGCTATATTAGTCATGGTTAACGTCATAGGACATCAGTATATATCGTCTCTGATAAAATTAATGGTCCATACGATTGTTCATAACTCTTAAGAATTGTCCGATTTCATTGATTAAATTTTTGGAAAGAATGCAATAATTTCGTTGTCATGTCGGTAGGCCTTTTTTCTTAATAGGCAGGACGAAACTTTGACAGGAATGCATATGAGCGGATTATTCATAACTCTTACGAATTGTCCGATTTCATTGATTATTTTTTGGTAACAATTTTATTAATAGACAGGACGACGAAACATTGACAGGGCATCGGTATGAATGTGAGCGGATTGCTGACATTATATCTGAATTAATTGTAACTGCAGAGCAGGTATCTAACTGCCTTAATCAATTAAGACAATCTTTACTGTTAGTTATTAGATGATGCCAAAATAGCTAGTGAGACGAGCAAGCTCTCAGTTACAGTTTCAACAGGAGAACAAAGCGTTGGGGGCATCGTATGCTGATTATAATAATGTGGAGCGCTTTCTCGTAGCTTTCGTAACTTTTAGTTGTATAGGCATCATTCGTGGAGATAGAAGTGTATTCGTAAATTAATTAGGCATATTCGTAAACAATTCAACATATTCTTGACCCATTCTTAACTGAATCGCTAAAATTCGTAGATGATTCTCTCATTTCGTACCTTTATCGTAACCTCATCTTGACATTCGGCAT